TAGGTAATATAGTTTGAAATAAGGGTTTTTATTTTTGAAGTTTTTGTTTTTTGTATTTTTAATTTTTTAGAATTTTTTAAAAAATTCTGTGAAGAATGTTATTGACAGTTTTGTAGGAATAGCAATGAATCTGTAAATTGCTTTGGGAAGTGTGGTCATTTTAACAATATTGAGGTCTTCAAATCCAAGACTATAGAATAATTGTCCATTTGTGTCATCTGTGATTTCTTTCAGCAGTGTTTTGTAATTCTCATTGTAGAGATCTTTCACCTCCTGGTTAGCTGTATTCCTAGGTATTTGTTTTTGTGTGTATAGTTATTGTGAATGGGATTGTGTTCTTGATTTGGCATTCAGCTTGGGTGTTGTTGGTGTATAGAAATGCTACTGATTTTTGTCCGTTGATTTTGTATCCTGAAACTTTGCTTAAATACTTTAAGAGATCTAGGAGTTTTTTAGGCAGAGACTATGGGATTTTTTTTTTTAGGTATGGAAACATGTTGTCTGCAAACAAGGATATTTTAACACTCTATTTGGATGCCTTTTATTTATTTTTTTCTGCCTGATTGCTGTGGCCAGGACTTCCAGTACTACATTGAATAGAAGTGGTGACAGTAGGCATCCTTGTCTTGTTCGGTTCTCAAGGGAAATGATTTCAGCTTTTGCTCATTCAGTATGATATTGGCTCTGGGTTGTCTTATTAAATGGCTCTTGTTATTCTGAGATATGTTCCTTTGACACCCAGTTTGTTGAAGGTTTTTTTTTTTTTTTTTTTTTTGTGAGACGGAGTTTTGCTCTTGTTACCCAGGCTGGAGTGCAATGGCACGATCTCAGCTCACCGCAACCTCCGCCTCCTGGGTTCAGGCAATTCTCCTGCCTCAGCCTCCTGAGTAGCTGGGATTACAGGCACGCACCACCATGCCAAGCTAATTTTTTGTATTTTTAGTAGAGACGGGGTTTCACCAGGTTGACCAGTATGGTCTCGATCTCTTGACCTCGTGATTCACCTGCCTCGGCCTCCCAAAGTGCTGGGATTGCAAGCGTAAGCCACCGCGCCCGGCCTGTTGAAGGTTTTTAACAGGAAGGGATGTTGAATTTTATCAAAAGCCTTTCCTGCATCTATTGAGATGATCATATAGTTTTTAGTTCTGTTTATGTAGAAAATGGCATTATTGATTTGTATATGTTGAACCAGCCTTGCATCCCACATAAAAAGCCTACTTAATTGTGGTGGATTAGCTTTTTGATGTGTTCAATAACACAAATTCAATATTTGGTTTGCTAGTATTTTGTTGAGAATTTTTGCATCTATGTTATCAAGGAGATTGGCCTGAAATTTTCCTTTTTCATTGTGTCTCTGCCAGATTTTGGTATCAGAATGATGCTGGCCTAATAGAATGAGTCTAGGGAGGAATTACTCCTCCTCTGTTTCTTGGAATAGTTTCAACAGGAATAGTACCAGCTCTGTATATGTCTGGTAGACTTTGGGAATGAATCTCTCTGGTCCTGGGCTTTTTCTGGTTGATAGGCTTTTTATTAATGAATAAATTTTGGAACTCATTATGGGTCTGTTCAGAGTTTCAATCTCTTCCTGGTTCAGTCTTGAGAAGCTTTTTGTTTTGAAATAATTATAATTTTATAGGAAATTCCATAGAAATCCACAGGAAAGTCCTGCGCCCACTTCAACTATCAGCTCCCAATGTTAGGCTAACATCATATATAACTATAGTACAACAATAATACCATAAAATTTATATTGATACGGGTCTCAGACATATTTAAATTTCAGCAGTAATGCTTGCAGTTATTTTTGTGTGCATGCATACAGCTCTGTGAACTTTACAATATGTGTAGCTTTGTATACCATCACCAACATCATAAGACTTACCCCACCACACCATTACTTGATATTACTGTTCCCCTATCTCTAGGCCTAGGCAACTGCTAATCAGTTCTCCCACTCTATAATTATGTTATTTCATGAATATAAATAGAATCATGCAATATGTATCCTTTTGTGATTTCCATTTTTTTTTACTCAGCATAATTAATGTGGAGTTCATCAAAATTATTGCATGTATCAATAGTCTTCCTTTTTTTCTGGATTGTATTCCATGGTGTAGATGTAACACAATTTGTTTAGCTATTTATCCACTGAGGGACAACTAGGTAGTGCACAGGTTTTGCCTATTGTGGACAAAACTACTAAGAATATTCATGCATGATCTGAATGAAAAGTTTTATCTCTGATGTATGTTTAAGAGTGCAATTGCTGAGTTTTATTGGTAAGTTCATCTTTAGTTTTAAAAGAAACTGCGAAAGTATTTTCCAGTGTGGTTATATCATTTTGCATTCTAACCAGCAATGCGTAAGTGACCCAGTTTCTCCACATACTTGCCAGCATTTCATGTTGCAACTATACTTTTTTATTTTAGTCATTTTTAAAAATTAAAAATTGACTAGTCAATAAATAGATATCTCATTATGGTTTTAATTTGCACTTTGCATTTTTACTGGTGTGCAAGGGTAGGAGTTCCAGCTCCTTCTGACTGGAAAGGGTAGGAAGAATGCCTTGTTACTTCTCCCTCTGTGGCATCCACTGACACCATGAGAGTGGTGTGGCCTTTTCACTGCTGGGTGGTGGTGTAAGTAGTGTCTCACTGTTAAGCCTCCTCTCACACTACCCCAGTGGGGAAGAATAAAGGTACTTCATTACTTCTGGGTATGGATGAAAGTCCAGGCTCCACACACAGTTTCCAAATGACACTGTGGTGACATTGTGGTTGTGGGAGGGTTGGGGTGTAGGGTGTGATGCTTGAGTCCAATCAGTAGGGTTGAAAGTCCTGGATCCCTACTGTTTCCTCTGACACCACCCCAGTAGCAAATTTGGGGTCATTATTACAGCCTATCCAGGGTAGATATAGTCTAGGCTTCTCATTCATTCTTTGTGGGAACAGTTTTTTTCCTGATGCTTTTAGCTGGAATAGAGATGTTATTGTCTAAATGTATTCTCTCTTACTAAGCCACCCCTTAGTAAGAGAGGATCTTACTGGCTGCTCTTTTGGCTAAAGAAGGCAGGCTTTTGTTGAAGCTTTACTTTGTCTATACCCACTGGCATTTCTGGGTTGCTGGTCTCTTCTGCCTCACGTTTGGAATTACACAAATGAAGTCTCTCTCATAGACTTTATTTCTGTTTCATTTTATTTTATAAGATAAAGACTTTTGGGGTCTCAGTCCTAGGAATGGGTTAATTTCTCAGGGCACCGACACTTGGCAGAGTCTGGATTCCATCTTCTGTTACCAAAGTTTGGTGTGGCTCTCACTGGTACTGCCCAGCTTCTGCCTCTCCCAGGTCAGATATTGCCTTCAGGGAAAAATTGGCCTAAAATGTTAGTCTCACTTCTCTGGATATTTGACTTCTATCAGATCTGGAACTAGGTATTACTTATTACCTTGTTAATTCTTAGATGGTTTTTGAAGATTTAAAATTTATATTTCAACCAGATTATTTTAGTAGTAGTAGAAGCATTTTTTCAATTTACCCAGTTCTACCTTACTGGAGGAATTCGTTTTCTTATTAATATTATTCAGTGTTTCCAGTAATTTTGTGTAGTAGAGGAAATAAAATTATATGTTTCAACTATGATCTTCATTGAATTAAAAAATGTTAATGTCCATAAAACATTGTTATGTTCTTTCAGCATTTAGTTATGCTCTTTTCTATAGCTTGCTTTTCTTTAAACATTGGTCTTTATGAGCTAGAGTGGTTTATTTGGAAGGGCACTAGACTTGGATTTACAGTTTTCTTTCATAGGACTTTTCTCTAAGAAGTCTCTTTTCATTGCATTAATTTACTAATTTTAGTCAAGATTTTCTGGCTTGTAAAACAAACAAAAAAAATTAGATGATTTTCAGTCTCTAAACTGTATAATAATTTAGATTTGCAAATTAAATGAGATGATTGTTATTTCTGTGTTTATAGAATTATTTTCTTTCTGTTTAGCCCTTTAAGTTTCTAATTAATACCAATTTGAAGGAAATGTAGGGAACAGAGAAACTTGTTAAATACAGCATAGGGAGGTTGTCAGCGATGTGGAAAACTGTATAGGACAAAATATTTGATATTTACATAGGTAAAGTACAGGGTGGGAAAAAAGGGAACAGAGAACACATGGACTAAAAGATAAGAGACATTTCACTTAAATGCTATGTACAGACCTTGTTTGTATTATTATTTTAAACAATTCTTAAAAGAGAAAATATGAGACAAAGAAATGTGAACATAAAATATATTTAGTGATATTAAGACATTATTAATTATGCTAATTACATTATTGGTATTATGGCTGTGTTTAAAAATTTCAAAATATTTACAGATGCAATAATATGATATTTGTGGTTTGCTTAATCATGATCAGAAGTAGGTGAGACAGGGCAGTTGATGGGTGTATAGAATTCAGAACTGGCCACAAATTGATAATTGTTGAAATTGGTTGATATACCTAGAAATCTATTGCACTTTTTGCTCTACTCTTAAAATATTTTAAAAAGGAACCGAAGGAAGGTGAAAAAGAGATAGTAGTAAAGTTAAACATTTATTATATCAAATGAAAACATTGTAGGTTTTAAAATCCCCCCAGGATTTGGAACCTATAGCTATAACTGCCAATGCTCAATTATCTAGTGGTCAGGCTAGGTATTGGTTTAAATCACCAGCAAAGTAGAGGATCAAAGATCCCTCTTTAATGAAGATTTTTATATTTAGTGTTTCTGAATGAGATCATAAGAGTCCTAATAGGAAAAAGAATACATTGTTGGATTTCCTTACATTTTAAATATAATCTAGTACCAAAATATAATTATATATAAATGTTATATATCTTATATCTTTCATATTAGAAATTTATCCTGACACTATCAGTTCTTGAATTGACAATTTTTAGTGAAATTAAATACAAACTAATTTAGATTCATGATATTTAAATTTTTTTCTTTCTAATTAGGTTTTAAAATATTCTTAATAACTATGCCTGAAAACAAGACAATTTCCTCTTCTTCCACTAGAGGTGATCAAACCAAGATAGGTAAGTTTATCGTAAATTGATTTTCTTTGAAAATAGTTTATAGATAAATGGAATCCCAATCACTTAGAGGAGGCCAACTGCAGAGATAGTAATATTTTCTAGGATAATGGTCACAAAACCAAAACTTACTGAGACCGGTAAAGTGAAGTAAGAGAAAAGAGTGACTCAGTATAACAAAAACACATTATCTGAATTATAATCAATTTTTTTATAATTATGGATACACTGTGTTATAGGTAATAAAACAGGTAAGCAATACAACAGAGGTGTGCTAGAATCGGCTCTTGTATATATTTCTTCTTAATTCCACTCCACTGTTAACTTCAATTGGCCATGGTAGTAGTATTTATTACCAACTAACAACTGGATATTAAACTTTTACCAGTACATCATTGAAGCCAAACATGCAAAATTGAAAACGAAAACACTAATATAATTTTGTTTTTAAAATTATATGATTTTATTGCATTACATGGCTCTATTTATTTTCATCTCGAGCTCTGACGTCTTTTATTCTGTATCATGTTAGCAATGTCATGTCTTTGCATGGTATAGAACAGAGGTCAGCAAATTATAGCCCATTCCCCAAATCTGGCCAGCTGTCTTTTATTTACAGATCCCAAATAAGGAATGGTTTTCATATTTGTAAAGAGCTGTGAAAAGAAAAGAAAAAAGAAGACAATGAGGAATATGCAACAGAGACTGGATTTGGCTTACAAAATCTAAAATATTTAGTATCTGTTGCTTTCCAGAAAACATTTGCCAGCCCTGGAATAGAACTTAACCTTGAATTATTTGAGAACAATGGGTAGTTTTGATTCAGTTATCCCTTGCCACACTGATGCTGTATAACAACCAACCATAAAAATATAGGTGCATACAGCATCATAAACATTCATTTTATGCTCACTTGTGCATGAGTCTGCCAGATGGTTCTGCTGATATCAGGTGGGCTCAGTACAGTTCACTCATGTATCCACAGTAAGCCACAGGTTAATTCAGTACCATTATTGATCTTGCTTATTTTCATTGAGCTCTTTTACGGGTCTAGGGCCTTGGCTGGGAAAATTAGGCTGATTCAGCTCTGCTTTGCTTTTCTCTCATATTACAGCATACTATTAAGGGGCTCGATCTCTGGGTTTTGGCAATTTCAAGAGGAGGAACAGAAGCAGAGAAGGCCTCTTCAGGCCAACGTGCAGAACTGTTGCACTATTACTTCTGTTACATTTTATTGATCAAAGCCAGTCACAGAACTAGCACAGAGACTACAGATAGGAGATTAGGCTCCACCTCCTGATGATAAATGCGGCAAAGTCACATTACAAAGGAAAGTGAATACTGGGAGGAGAAAATTATTGGGGTTATTATCGCAATCAACTTACTACAATTTTCTTTGGGGTTATAATTGAAAGCAGTCATTTAGTAATTCCAAATGTAGATAAGGTCATGACACAATGGATTTTATTTAAAATTGTTAGTCTTGGGTTAGAATCTTATTCCATCACCACATATTTTCTAAATATTTGAAAAACCTTGGTTTTTAGCTCTTTATTTTTTCTATCAATATTTATTGAAAAAAAGTTTATTTTTATTTATAGAGTTCATTGTGTAAAGCTTAAGCAAAAGCTTGTTTTTATTTCTGGAAACTGATCCCAATCTCAGATTAGCAAGATGGAACAAGTTATTCATTTAAAATAATTTTCCCAAAAACACAATTTGGAACAAACGAGTAATCAAATCATACAGGTGTTAACTCATATTTAAATAGTTGAAAGAACTACTGAAAAGTTTTTGGGTTGATTATAATGTGAATTAAAAAGATCAATAGTTGTTCCAAGACTTCAGAGAGCTGACCTGGTGATTTTCCTTTGAATGATTTGACAAAGTCTATTTTAAACTGGAACAGAAAAGGATTGGTTTACACTTGTTTGCAAGCAAAAGCTACAAAGTTCATCATATTAAGTGTGACTTAAGCCACTCACCTTCATTTGATGCAGTAGATACGCATAGCAAATAAAACTACATATCACACGATTTAATGGAATGTAAGTCTTCTGTCATGTAGATTTCTGCAAATGCATAAGAAATGGAAATATGTTTGGCTAACATTTTGGAAAATAAAATAGTTAATAAATTGTCTTTTAAAATGTGCTTGGTTAGCAAGTTTAGGATTTTTGTATTTATGCGACATTAAAAACTATAATTGGAATGCAAACATCAGTAGGGATTATTAGTTAAAATTTACTTTCAGCACTTTGGCTTTACACCATCATCAAACTTCCTATTCTTTATGTAAGACAATCAACCATTATAAACAACATTCAACTATCCCAGCAAAGCATTGCAATGTCTGTGTTTAAGCCACAGGAATTTATCAGTCCTGTGTGTTTAACTACCAGTGTTTATTACTATGTCTTCCAAGATTTTAAACTTTCAAGTCTAAAGCCATCTTTGCTGGATAATGTACTGAATGTAATTATGTATTGATTTTTGAAAAGTTGTCATTAATTCTATCACAAGAACACAGTGTGAGGTCATATTTACTAACTTCTGTGAAACTACATTCAACATAAGAATACTTAAAAAAATATCCAAAAGAAATCACTTTTTGATGTTCTTTTGTTCATGATGTAACTACTGTGGTCATATGGAAACTCTCACTATTCTAAAAATTATTAATTGGGCTGAGTGTGGTGGTTCATTCCTGTAATCCCAATACTTTGGGAAGGTGAGGTGGGTAGGTCACTTGAGACCAGGAGTTGGAGACCAGCCTGGGAAACAAAGTGAAACCCTGTCTCTACAAAAAAATACAAAAATTAACCAGGCCTGATGGTATGTGCCTATAGTCCCAGCTATTGGGAAACTGAGATAGGAGGATCCCTTGAACTAAGGGCAGAGGTTGCAGTGAGTCAAGATTGCGGCATTGTACAATCCAGCTTGGGTGACAGAGAAAGACCCTGTCTCAAAAAACAAATAAAAATAAAAATAAAAATAATTAATTGGATAATTATTCTGTGTTCTCAGTTGACATAAATCATAAAACAAATTACTGATCTTTTTCAAATTGTTCTGTAAAGTTACAGCCATATATTTTAAACAATATGACCAATAATATTTTCAGATGACTCACATTTACAAATGGTTAGTTCTGTTTGGGATAACACTTTTTAATACAATTAACAGGACCTTTTAACAAACTATATTTTTTTGGCTTTACGGGCAATATTTTCTCTAAATACAAACTGCATTTCATGGCAGCATCACATTTATTTGTGTTGAAATACTGATATTGGATTTATTTATTAAGGTTTTCCTAATGTATCTTTTTCATAACATGTGTTTTCTATAGAACAGGTAGAGGATGAATTGTTTTACAGCATAGTGTTTTGATATTTTAAGTCAGGAAATACTTTGCATGTGCAAAAATATCTGAAAAATACAAGTGACGTTTAAAGAATATGGATAACATTGTGTATTTGTGCACTTACAGTTGGGCTTAAGGAATAGAACCCTGTGTTCACTCACTTCTTCCAAATCGCATATAATTTTATATATTACATACAAATATTAAAATAATACATATATAGTTCTGTATGTTTTATTTCATATAACAATTTTAACTCTCCTATTAATTCACAAATGTTTGTTAAATCATTTGAAAATAGTAAGTTTTAATTTTTACTTTCTTCTCGATATAATTTTTTCCCATTTTCTTCTCTATCACTTGGCTGATTTTGTGTGTGTGTGCCCTGTTGAATGAAGGTGATTAAAATGTGCACAAATCTTCCTTTTCATAATTTTTAAAGTGAGACTTTTGATGTTTTGCCATTAAATATGATTTTAATGGTTTGTAGAGATTATTTTTTATAATTTTCTTTAAATTTTGAACCTGTTGTGAATTTTATTAATACTTTTTTTATATCTACTAAAATTTTTCTGGACTTTTTTTTCCTTTACTCTTTAACTTTAATGATTTGCATACATGGATTTACTATTTTTAAACAAACTTTATTCCTGGGACAAACAACTTCTTAAATTGCATTGTATTTTAATATGTTTCTAAATTTTGTCTCATAATCATTTGTTTAGGATTTTTGCATCTTTCTTATTCAATAACATTGGCCCCTATGTTTTCTGAGCACTTCTTGTCTGGTTTTGGTAATAAGGGTTTCATAACCTCAAGATTGAATTATAGAGTGCCTCTTTATTTTCTGTTCTCCAAAAACGTTAATATATTTTTATGATTTTTTTTCTGGAATATTTAGCTAAAATTACCTCTTAATTTGGGGGAATATAATAAATTATTGATACAAAATACGTACTGGTTTTAGTACTACTCAAGCTTTCTGATTATCTTTAATTCACTATTGCTTAGCAAGTTAAAATTTTTTCTTTTAAAAATCTATCTGGTTAAATATTAAATGTATTGGTACAATACTGTTAATAGTCTTTGTTTTTATATCTATAGGCAGTTGTTGCTTTTTTACATTCATAATATTGTATTTGTTTCTTCTGGTTCTCCTCTGTTTAGTCTTGTCAATCTTGCCAGAGGTAATTCCTTTGTGTTAACCTTTTCAAATTGGTAATATCAAAACTTTTGGATTATCTCTAGGTTTTTGTGTTACTTTGCTTTCTATTTTATTAATTTGGGATATTATAACCTTCCTTATCCTTTATTTGTTTTTGCTATCCCACACATTTTAAATTTGGATGCTTAGTTTCCTAGTTTTCAGCCATTTTTATTTTTTAATATAGTTATCTCAAGCTATAAGTTTCCCTTGAAATAACTCAGAGATAATATAAAGGACTGGAGGATCAAATCAAATCAGACTCATTTAAGTGTATCTTTGCTAACGATTTTAAGGCTATGGGAAATTCTCAGGTACAGATGAAGCAGGGAGACATCTGGGACCATCAGAACAGCTTTCAAGGTCCTGTCTTACCTGGTTGGATGTGCTCTGCTCCAGATTAAAAAATAATGTGTTTAAGCATGTATGCAC